CACGTAGGAAGTCTTGGGGCATATGTATAGCTAGGTATTGGCCCCCTAAACTATTGCTAGTGATTTTGAAGCCATGGTGAGTCATTCTCGCTGAGTTTTGAGGCGTTTTGTACGCGGATCACGTGAGATTTCACTCGTGTCATCCCTATATAGAGCGTCTACCGACGCTCTGATAACATACGACGCACCGTCGTCTTAGTGCGCATACGTTAGTATTACGCGCTTCTTATTATACGAGATACTGTGCGGAATTTTTCTCCATCCTCTTTACAGTCCGTCCAGTTGGCTTAGAATGAGATGGATTCATCCGCGGAGGATAGTGTTCTTCGTCGAAGAAAAACAGACAGAGAATCGTGTCTTTGGCTCCGCTCTATGTAGGCCCGGTCGCCGAAAGTCCTCACGACAGAGAGGCTCGTCTTTTTCAGGGACCATTACGAGATCTTGAGCGGGCAAGGCAACGATACTTCTTCTGGTCCAAGAGGTAAACAGACAGAACGCCCGGCCGTCGAAAGTCCTCACGACAGAGAGGCTCGTCTTTTCAGCGACGATAAGAGATGGAGAGGGGGACCGGGCACATTACCTTTCCGTTGCTACTATCTTCTGGTCTAGTTTCACTAGCTACGTAGTCGTATGCGCAACCTATGACAACACCATAATAACGCCTGTTACTTGCTTACCCAATCACTGTTATTGCTCCTAAGCTGTAGATCCCACATCTGCCTCAATGGTTTCCGCGGTTTTTTCAGGTAATTGATACACGTGGTTTGTGATCAAAAAAGAAAATTCATATCTTTTAGACGGAGCTCGGTAACAAGCTCTTTTTTTCCAGAAAGACTTCTATCTAGCTACGTCCACCTGAAAAATATTCACGGAGCCAGACGCCTCAGAAAAATATGTTTACGCAGGTTATGCAGAGGCTGTCGATTTTTAGTTGGTCCGCTTTTCCGGTGCGATGCCTACACATGGTTGGGAGTGTACGCCCCTTTTTCATAATCTCGGCTACCCATGCATAGTACTACTCTATTCCAGTTCTGCAGCGGCATAGAACATGGGAATAGAAAGTTATAGATGGGTGAATATGTAATAAGCTCAGCGTACCCTGACCGCGAGCTGATCTGGGCGACTGCATGCGCGCAAATAAAATTGTACGTGTACTATGGGACTTCCAGTTATTTGGCGGAACGACTGTAATGTGACAAGCAACAACACAAAAATTTCTGTTACTTATAGAAACATTTTATATACGTAGCTCGCTAGAATGATGATGGTTGTATAATTATACTTGCGCTACAGTACACTTAATGGCTCGCTCCGCTCGCCCAAAGAATGCCAAGCATTTCCACTAGTAGATACAGCATGCGAGAGTCGATACATGCCATTCGTTGTGAATTCCTGAGCCCCCAAGGTACACAGGAGCGAGCGGATCAGGTCGCGGTAAGCCCAGTGCGATTATGTATTTTGGCTTTTTCACTTGCTTCATGGCATATATCTCGAACGCAATCGTTTGAGGAAAATCACCCTTTTATTTTTCAGGCTCGCGTAGTCCTGAAGCCGCTAATAGGCCGCCTCGTAGCCTGTAGTGCCAGAATAAGCGTCGCCACACACACAGGCACACACATAGACAGACAAACCAACTACTGCAACCCTCGCCGCATTTGCGCCGAGGGTTAATTACATCCAACCTTTGCTGTCAATTTGGGGGCCAGTTACAAAAGGAGATGTGGTAACTGACGCAGCTGGTGCTACACCATCAGTATCTCCAGTTTCAGTTGGAGCCACAACTAAGAGAAACATTACCAGGTAGTACGTAGGTATGCGACAAGACATTATAATACTTACCAGGTGGTAGGTATGGTACAAGTTTACATGCCACATCGGACATGGCAACAGTAGGATGATTTAATGCATCGTAGAGATCTCTCCAGGTGCATGGCTCAATCTTCTTCAACCTTGTCTGGATCATGAGGTTGAACTTCCTGTCAAGACTCATCCCTCCTTCCGCTTCAATGCTCTCCAGCTCGTGGACGTCTAGTTTGAGTCGGGTTCCAATGTTATCCCATTTTGATCTTGCGGCCCACAGAGCCTCTTGGACTCGGGCAAAATCATGGATAGTCAACTGTATAGGGGAGTGAGCGGTTCAGCACGAGTGTCGTTATTTAGTCCTGAAATAGGGCTGCCGCTCAGAAACAACCGGGCGAAAGATGCCACGCCTCTTTACATAAACCGTTGATTCTTGGCCACACTAATCTAGCAAGCAGGATATAAGTATAGCCCAGAAAAGTATGATGGGTAGCTAAGTTCTCAAACCTGATTAGACATAGTTGCCAGAGAGCAGTAGCTACAGAATCGACAGCCCCTATTGTACTTCGGAAGGCTCGGTCAACAGTGTTTCTTGCTCAATTTAGTAGCAATTATGTAATGACTTCCACATTTCCGGGGGTGTGGCTTAATTACGTCAAACTATAAAGCGCTTGCTTTTTCTTGCTCTCAGCTAAACTAAAGATTTGCCGCTCGTTCCCATACGATCGCTGCGATGGAAACCAGGGAAACGGAGATATCAGTTCTCTGCATAGACTCAAGGAGCTTTTGGACTCCCTGCATAAGGACGTCGAACGCCTAAATTAGAAGCCCGCCGGGGCGCGAGCGGGACGGACTACGAGCGGAAGACACCGCAATACCATGTGATGCCAAGAGAAAAAAGATGCGGAGCTCTGGACAGCTGTTACGGGATTTTTGGCATTCATCAGCAGAGCATACCGCAACTTCTCTCTCTGGCATCACGAGTTTATAAAGGCTGCCATGAGCGCAGCACTTGTGGTTGAGATTCATCCTCCACAAGGCTTTGCCACTGTGCTGACCATGAGACATTCGTGGTAGGCCCCCTCCCCACTCCTGCTAGTCAAGGTCAGCACCGAGCCAAAAGGTGAGTTGTCTGTGACAGAGCGATCGCGAGTTTCTCTGCGCGGAAGCTTGGCCGGCGTCACCGTGTGGAAACACGCACTTGGAAAATATGGGATTTCGTTACGCCATCTGATTGAATCTGCCGACAACTAAACTCGGAATCTGATTGGTCAATTGCGTATTCGCAGAACAACCACACCTCTCAACCTACTAACTCGTGCATGGAGCATGCGCAGTTGTAATCGCACCGATGTGGACTACCTGAGAGAATTAGCTGTGTTTCGCTCAAAACTTATAATAATCATTACAGCAACATTAATTTGATGAGAATACACCACTGAAGGGAGACAAAAGTTATAAGACTGGAAGTGTGTATTCAGCAAGGTTTCCCCAGGAGGATCCGACCTTCATCTTGACTGGGAACCTGACAGTCAGCTGCAGTGCATTCTCCATCTCCTGCTGGACTACCATGGCCACACGAGGCAGATCTCTCTCCGACACCTCATACAGCAGCTCATCATGGAGCTGGAGAACCAGGTACGCTCTTCTTACACTCCCACAGTCTTGGAGCGGTTTAGAGTCAATTTCACTTGGTTTGGAGTGGGTTAAACAGAGCAGTGATGAGATGTTCTCGTTTGCGAGTGAGCGGTCAATGTTGATCATGGCAGTCTTGACCAAGTCGGCTGCTGAGCCCTGGATGGTGCTGTTGACTGCCTGTCGCTCGGCCTGGCTGCGTGCATGGATGTTCTGAGAGTGTATCCCCGAGAGGTACCTCTTGCGACCCAACAGTGTAACAATGTACCCATCCTCTCTACATGACTTGACTGTGGCATTGATAAACTTCTTCATTGCGGGGTATTTTGACTTGAACGTTTCAATAAACTTGGCAGCATCATCTTCTTCTATGTCAAGTTGTTCAGCAAGTGCCTTTGCCCCGATACCGTACACCATGCCATAGCAGATCTGTTTGGCATTCTGTCTATCCTCTGCTGATATCTGGTCCACCGGTACACCCAACCACTCTCCGGCAATCATCTTGAATACATCTCCCAGGCTGTTTAACACTTGCCGGAGTTTAACGTCACCAGACATGTGTGCCAGGATCCGCAGCTCCAGCTGAGAATAATCAGCCGCAAGAAACACTCCCCCGGGGAACGGGACAAACACACTCCGCATGTTGACGGTAGATATCGGTGGACGAGGTTCGGAAAGTGTACCATCTTTCTCTGAGTCACTCCCATTGTTGCATGCACGTCTGTAGCACTGGCTCTCAGACACAAGAGAGCAGACATCAGCAGCAGCTCCAGCAGACTCGAGCAGAGCGGCAACACTTGATGCAGTTCCAATTTCGTACTCTTTTGGAACCATCTGTATGTTTGGGTCTGACGTTGCAACCCTCCCAGTGGCTGTATGAACATGGTACGTGGAGTGTATTCTGACAGAGTCCAGGTCAGTGTGGCACACTGCATCTTTGAACAGAGGAAACACAGTCTTAGTGACAGTCGAAGAGACTCTCCTCCACTCTAAAATTAGTCCCGGTAAGGGGTGGACTTGTTTTAACTTCTCCAGCACATCCTTGGCGGTGCTGAGGTGCTGCAGTCGTCTCTTCCCGCGACGGTTCGGACCCAACGTCTTCTGTTGCTTCGGATCTGAAGGCGGTGGAAGCTGTAGCTCGAGAAATAGGACACGGGACACATCTTCGGGAGACGTGAGGGAAAAACTCCTCCCTGCAAGAGTATAGGCCTCGCTTTCTATCTGCGCCAGTCTCAGTTGCAACATCTGCTTCAAAGCGCCACACTCTTCCCTCGAGAACCCGATCCCGTTGAGTTCGGCTTTGGTCAACACAGCCAGTGATGGCATCTCCAACTCTAGGAACGGTCGGTGCAACCCCTCTTCTTGCAGGAGTGGTCTCAGTTTTGAAACGAGGAGAGAAGCGAGGATTGCCTCGGCTGCTGCTCGCATGTGGGGTTCGCTCCCGTGGGTGGCCAGGTTTGAGAGAGGCATGTCTTCGCCTCCCTCTGAGAGGAGTGGCTGGTCGGGGAGATAGTGGAGGACCATCTTGTGGACAGTTTTCTCCTTCCCGTCTGGGTTGAGCATCCAGTCAGCCACAAGTGGGTCCAGGCACTGGGCTGAGGGAACTATCCCGAACACTGACGCAAGAATCTTTAGGTGCTTTTTGATGGAGTAAGCCATCACCTCTCGGATGTTTCGACTTTGGAAGATTGACTGGAGAGCCTTTATTCGGGAATCGAGAGAAATGGGGTCTTTATTCTCACCATTTGCTGGTTGGCAGAGAGAGACGTAGTAGGCATCCATGCCTCCCCAGCATATGGCCACACCCACAACCTGCTCACTGTGATGGGGGATTGGGACACCTCTGCTGCTCATATGCTCCACAATCCTAACTCCTATGGCCTGCTCACGGCCAAAAGAAGACACGGCAACCGAGAAAGAAATGGCGGTCTGCTCCAGACACTCGGAGAGGAACGTTTGAAAGAGGAGAGAGTTGGAGGTGACATTGATAACGCAGGCTCCAGACTGCGAGAGGGAGACCTGGCTATTGCTAGCCAGAGACATATCTCTCAGTCGAGATTGGGAGAGAGATGGGCATGGACTAACAGCCGTTACAGACACAGGCCCTTTCTTAGGCGATTTTTCCTTAGGTCTCTCCCCAGAGTGACTTGCAGAATCATTCTTAGGAGATTCAACCATCTTTTCCGTGGTGTTCTCCTCAGGGTTTCTTGCAGAATCTGTCTCAGCCTCAACACCTGCTAGCACAGGTTTGTTTTCTACTAAAATACTGTCACCACAGACTACAGGCGATTCAGCTACCTTACCAAAAGCAATGCAATCCTCGCTTCCCTTATCGAGGCCATGATCATCATGTTCTGATATTAGACTGCAACTCATGTCCTCATCCACAGGGAGGGCCTCGCATGCGGCATCAATCATAGCCAGCGTGGAGCGACTGAAACTGGTAGACATGTCCATGGAGCACGGAAGGCTGTTGGGAACAGTGAGGGGGTGGTGACTAGCTACAGCACTGGTGTCTTCCAGTTTGCTGGATGAGATGTATCAGCCACTTTGTTCTGGGAGAGAGGTGAAGAGCTGTGTTGAAAGTATTGCAGAGGGAGAGGAGTGTGAAGAAGATCACGTGACGGATTCTGGAAGATTCCGCTAGAGTCTGGTGAAAACAGTGGTGAGTAACTAATGCTGTCATCTTCTCTAACATCTGTTCCAAGAAGTGGGACTTGGGGGGTCTCTCGATAATTGTTACCGGTTGGTGTTGATGGTCGAGGGGAGGAGGTTGTCACTCTAGACAACGCTATGATGGGAGATGATGTAAACTTTATAGTCTCAATCTTGGTTGCCGTCTTTCTTCTACACAATATCTTTCTTGGATTCTTTGGTGTTTTGAAGGTGGATGAGGGTTTGTCACTGGATGAATCCACCACATGTACTGCTACATCACCGATATCTGTCAGTTTATGGTCCCCTGTGGTAGAGGATTTGATTCTCTTACTGCTAGGAGGTTCTATAGGTCTCTCCTTCTTTATCTCATCGCCACCAGCTGGATCAACACTGGGAAGGACAGCCTGCATTGTTTTCCAAGCACCAAGAGGAATGTTCATTTGCTCTGACAGGATCCTCTGTGCCTCGTGCACTATCTCCCTGGCAGCCTCAAACTCTGTCATGCCCCGCCTCAGTCTCGCACACCACATAGTGCCCCGATTGTCGCTGTGGTCTCCAAAAGTAGTAACTATTCCTTTGGAGCTCTTGAAAGGAACTGCGTTTCTGAGGCAGTGTTCGACAGCGAGTGGATTCGCAGATGCGATGGCAGAGAGGGAGTGAAAACCTGCGTTGTACAGGGCTCTTGCTCTGAACCCATTCACCAGAGATACCCTGACAAGGTCACAGAGTTCCCGTTCCACGCCAAACGAGAGTCGACTCTGGAACTGCGAGAGGAGTAGCTCCAAGTTCTTCCAGCCGAGTCGGCTACAGAAGACTGTGACCATCCCCGAGAATGTCCCGGCAGCACTCTGGAGAGTCTGCAGAAGCCCTTTGCTCACTCCGTATTTCCCAGCCACGTAGACTATGGGGGCTTCGTGAACTAAATTGTGAAGGGCTAGAGCAGTGAAGAATCGACGGTGGATGCGCAGCCTCTCTCGCTGCTCGCTGGTCCTCTCGGGGACCCTCCCCTGGATGGCTCGTGCGAGGAATGACTCATGGACACCTAGAGTGTTGGCAACGTGTTTGCCATCGGGCGGGAGCCTCTCCAGCATGCAGAGGAAGCGATACCAGTCTATTGAGGGCCACTGCTCCTGAATGTACACTGGAGTAACCTGTGAGTAAACAGCTGCGTAAATCCAGTAGTCACCCTTTGGGCCCCATGGGTATATCTCTTTAAATAAGCATAAATTGATTTATATTATATTAACGCCTAGTATTATAGCCCTACATATATAAATTCTTATGGAGTTATGGAGGCTTTGGGCATATATATAATTATCCATGGGCCCCGTGGCTGGCTAAGGGTTAACAAACATGTAGAAATGTGAAACTTTTAAAAACGGAACAGAAAATATAGCAACATACTTAACAGATCAGGAAGGGGAAGGAAACTACTTATTCTTAGAGGATAAATTGACGAGTTATCAAGCTGACTTGCACAAGTCAGCTCAATTTACATGGTCTACGGACACATCCTGTAACACTAAGGTTATTCCTACCCCAACATAGCTACCAAACATAGGCGAGCAACTGCTTTGCTCGCATTATGTCCATGGACACGTAAACTATAAGTAATTTGACCGCAAAGTTCTCATGTGGGAAGGCATTGTTAAGGACTATATTTACATACCAGGTAGATGATGTGAAGTTCACTCTCCAGTACAAAGCAGTGTCGTGCCTTCCTCAGTTCAGACAACACCACCAGAGCCTCTTCGGGGGAGAGGGCAGAGGCCACCGTTGCTGCCCCCAACTGAGTTGCATGGAACTCCCTTCCACTGCCAACTTGGAGTGATGTAGTAGGTACGCCTTTGCTTGATGCAGGTTGGTTCCTGACTCCAATAAACTCATTCTCTATGAGGTAATCCACAGTTGTGCACACCAGTTTCTTGGAGAGGGAAAGGGGGTCAGCCTGCGGTGAGACCTTCTTCTTCATCTCGGCAAACAGAAGGGTGCAGTTGAAATAAGTCTCTACTTCGGTCTGGGTGGTGGCTTTACCACTCGTTATTACTTCCAAAATAGCTCTTCTGATAGGTATTACTTCGCCAGATTTCCCCCTCTCCTTCCTCCTCTCTACGTCCAGGCAGCTTGTAACAGGAGCAGGGGTTGAGAGGAAGAGGCTACTTACTTTTTGTTTCTCGTTAGGTTTACAAATTAAGACACTCTCCCCTTTCTCGTCCACCCCCTTCCTCCCTGCCCTCCCCACCATCTGCTTGTACACGAGAACGTCCAACAAAGACTTTTGAAAGAAAGGACTTCTGACTATCACAAGTCGAGCAGGGAGATTAACTCCAGATGACAGGGTCGAAGTTGCCACAAGGATACGCAGTAGCCCCTGCCGAAACGCACCCTCGACGATCTCTCTCTCGTCAAAGGTGAGCCCAGCATGGTGGAACCCAACTCCATGCGGGACCGTCTTTTCCAATATCCCGTCGAGGCCAACCTGCGTTCTTCTCAGTTGGTCCAGCACTCCCAACAAGGCTGCAGACTTCAGACAAAAGCTTGAAGTTTCTTCTTTCCTGTGTACAGTTCCTCTGGCACTTGTACTGTGTGTAAGGAAGGGAGCAGCTGCTATTCTTTTTGCAAGAGTCTCGCACCACTGTTTCGTGGGGCAAAATACCAGCACCGAATGTCCGCTTCTCACCGTCTCTTCACAAAGTTTAATGATGTCATCCTCGTCGTTAGAGGACTCTTCATTACTCGAGAGTTCCCTGATCTTCTGGAAGTTGGTATCAAACAGTGCGGACCCCATTTTGACCATCTCCTGCAGGGGGACTGGTCTGAAATCAGTGGAGTAGAGCCGACCGTCCAGCCACTCTGACAGAGTGTCCAGGTTGGGTAGAGTGGCACTCATCCCTATGATCTGGATCTCGTTCCTACCACCTTCCACCACCTCACACTCCCTCCGTGCTCCCTCCCACGTTGATACTCTACTCCTTTTAGAAATGTACAAGAGTTTGGTGAGAAGGAGCTCGAGGAGGTAGCCCCTGTGAGAATCGCCAATCATGTGAAGCTCGTCGACAACCACGGCACCAATCTCGGACAACTTTCCCTCTTCCAGAAGACGATTGATTAAGCTGTTGGCCTTCTCAATCGTGCAAATGGCTATGTCGACCCCAGCAAATCCCCCTGCTGGAGAATACCCACCCATAAACCCTCCCACCTTTACTCCGTTTGGCTCAAAAATGCTCTGAAGATAGTTTGCTTTTTCGTGGGCAATGCTGACAAACGGGAGAATAATGACAACCTTCTTCCGTGTCTCGAGAACGCACTTGAGGGCCAGTAGCTCAGCAATGAAGGTCTTACCAGCACTAGTGGGGGCAGAGAAGACTAAGTTGTGGCCCTGGAGGACCCCTGGTAGCATGAGACAGTCGGCCTGCCACTGGTACATGCTCACAATGCCTCGCTTTGAGTACTGCTCCAGGACCGGCTGGGGGATTCCCCACTGTGTCAACCTTAGTTTTTCCTTTGGGTCTATCTTAGATGGAGTTGTCATAAACGACGGGACACTATGTAGAGACGCTGTTGAGCGCAGCACAGAATTTCTCTCCAGTTTCGGACTAAATGGTGAAGAAGAAATGATGGAGCCACCACACTCTGGCCGAAAGAGAGCTAAAGCTGCTCCGTGTCCATGCGTACCCCTGTCTGGGAGCATTGGTGTACTGGAGGTGGGTTCGAATGAGATTTTGTCCACCATTGAGAATAGCTCATTGTTCATGTCAGAGCCAAAGGAGAAGCTGAAGGAAGGAGACTTTGGAAGAGGGGTAGGAGAGGTTGCAGGCAACACCTGAAATCATATTCAGGCAATATACATACATATACATACATACCCACGCATAACTATGCGTAGGAATACTGCTCACTATCATACCAAGCTATAAAGACAGTTAGTTTATGGTACATGTGCTACTTACACTTTTCTTTTCTGGTCTCCTGTCCTCCGCGATATCGAGTGGTAAACGACAGTATGGCTCTTTCTTTCTGCTAGACACTCTCTCACGGCCCCCTGGCTTTGCCAACGGGGCTGCGGATGACCGTTTAGTGGACGTCTTCATCAAGCAGGCCAAATTCCCAGTACAAAGTTCGCGCGCATTGGGTAAATCCGGCACGTATGCGCATGCGCATTTACAGCGCAAATGATAATACAAAAGCTCTGGCTTTGATGCTCCGTGTCACTGTGTGTGCGCTACAGCGATGATAGCAACAGAAAATATGATCAGTCATCTTCACTGTATCTCTTGTAGCCAGCACGAGGATCGGAGAATCCCATCTTGCCCTTGTAGAATGAGTTGGGCCCGGAGGAGGTTGGAGTATTTCTGTCATAAACAAAAAGTCACCAATGAAGACGTGCTGATACGGACTCACTTTCCAATATTTCTCATCCTCAGTTTGGCTTCAGGCGGCATTTCCTCTTCTTCATCACTCTGCAATACACCCACACATCATAATTATAGAGCCCTTTGCATGTGACATTATTCGACAACAGCAGAAACACATACTGCAATAGGTAATGTCAACCGTTCATGAATCATCAACATCACAGAATATATAACGTGTGCAATGTGTAAGAGGGATGGTATACAGGTTGAGTTTCAACTCACATCATTTCCAAACACTTGAGATACAAGTGCTGGCTTCTTAGCTTCAGGTTTGGGCTTCTTAGGTTCTGGTGCAGCCTATATAGGTGGATAAAACAGAAAATGTGCATTGCTGCCTCAGTGACCATACTGCTAAACACAAAAACACAAACTGTTATGGTACATGTGAAAGCTAATCCAAGAGCGGTATATTCACATACTAGAGCTAAATGCACACAGGCAGAGGCAGGCAGAATGCAAACTTTGTCAAACTACAGACTGAAAACTGGACACGTGTTGGACAAGCATTCACCCACTCAACTGCACCACTCCCTTTTCACCTATGACTCACTTTCAAGGCTCCAATCTTCATACTGATAGTAGGCCCTGACGACCTCTTTCCTAGTAGACCTCCTCCACTCATGGGCTTGAACTTTACCTTCTCAAATCCCCCACTAGTTGATGGTGATGTCTTGTCCTTTGATTCGGTGGTAGTAGTTGATTCTGACTTTTGAGAAGGTTCTGGTGGAGTTGGTTCAGCATTCTCAGGTGGTGGAGGTGGAGGGTGGCTAGTGGAGGGAGGGGGAGGAGGGAGAGGGGGAGGGGGGAGAGGGGGAGGAAGGGAAGCTGATTGCTGGGAGGTTGTGTGTGGTGGAGCGGCGAATTGAGGAGGAAAAGATGGCTGTGGCTGAAAGGTGGGAGGTCGGGGAGGAGGTGGAGGAGGAGGGTGCTGTGAGAGAGGAGGTGCTAGTGGGCGAGTGGGTGGAGGAGGGGGCGGTGGCCTTCCGAGGGGCGGAGCCAGGGGGTGTGGCCAATTTGTTCCTCCTGAAACGAATGGGGCCCTCGCCCGCTTGCAGTCATGTCTCTCTCACACGATCTCTACTAATAAAAGTTTATTCTAGGGGTCTGACACTGTAGCAATCATGCACATAACCAGCTACGCATGAAATCAGCAGTGGAGATGACTGGCCCCACCCATAATCTAGTATACTTCGCCGAGTTCATTTCTCCTGATCGACGGCACATACATGTAGCAGAGATATCGTGCTGAAGAACTAGATTTTACCAGGTGGTTGCTGCTGCATGTTTCGTATCCTCTGCCGAGCGTCGAGCAGAGTCCTGTCCGGCGCGTGGGTTGGGCTTCAACTTTTGTTTAGTGGGCGTGGTCCTTATAATTAGCATTCCAAAGCTGCATCGCACGAACGAAAGTCGTACTTACCTGGTTGTTTTTGAGTTTGGCGCAGCGGCTAGCTCGCGGCAGATAGGCGTACAGCAGCTAGGAAGCGAGGAGGAGATGTCGTGGAATCGAGACTGGAGCGTGGAGACGTGGCTAGAGGCCCTGGGGCTCGGCTCCTACACAGAGCCCTTCCTGGACAACGGCTACGACCTCCAGGAGCTTTGCGCCAATCTCAAGGCGGAGGACCTTGACGCCATTGGGGTCGAAGACGAGGCTCACAGAGCTAGGATCTTTGCCGATGCGTCCAAGCTCCGCGACGAGGCACGAGCTCGCTTCAAGAAGAGCAAGGGCGGCGGCAGCTCGGGTAGCACGGACCACTCCGGCTCCCTGGGCAGCCGGGGCTCGTTCCCTGCCTACTCGGAGCCCTGGAGCGAGGACTCCCAGCAGCAAAAGCACGTCTACTCGGAGGTCTGGGAGCAGTCCCCGCCGACGGACGGCGGCGGCGTTGGAGGTATCACCCCAGCTCTGGCCCAGCTCATGATGCCCAATGGCAGCAGTGGCGGCGAAAAGCACAAAGGACACACGTTTCCGCCCGTGCCTCCCTCGAAGGTTCCCAGGAAGAAGCTCCCTACCTCGCCCGGCCCTGTCGGATCCCAGGTTTCGTTCACCTTACCGGCCCCTCCGGCGGCGCCTTCGGGCACTAGCGGCGGTGGTGGGGTGCTAAACAAGTTGCAGCTGAAGCTCAAAGTGCTGGAGGAGCTGCAGAAGGACAGGGTCATTCTATCTGAGCCTCCGTACTGCAAGGAGGTGAGCCGCTGCAATAGAGCTGTCTGCGCATAAGCTGCAAGCCTTGACACAATCACTAGTGTGTTGGTAAAGACTCTCTACCTGCTGTGTGCCTTACTGATAGAGTGGCAGATAGCCCACCCTGCCTTTGCAGTTAATTGCAGCTTTCTTACTGGGCTATGAAGAAATGCAGAGCATTTAATATGGTAAGATCAGTCCATTCTTTACATGCAAGTGACAGGTGCCAATGATGTTATTTGGAGTCACACTGATGCTGTGATGCACTAACGCTTCGCTGGCTGCTATAAAATATTATTGAATGCTATATATATACACTTTAGTGTTACAGGAATAACCTTTTAACAACTTTTTTGTGTTCATTAAACTGCTGTTACTGTTTGTATAATTATACTGTACCTTCCTTCCTCCTTCACTTCCTCTATACCAGTAGAATGCATTGTTAGGGCCAACGAGCTTCTGTATGACCTTAAAAGCAGTTTTCTTTGCTCCATCGTGAAAAGTTTTTCCCCGCTGAAGGTCCAACTACACAGTAATTGTACCTTATGCTGTACTACGTACGCATAAATTATATAGCTACTCATGTGTGTACATCTATATTAAACTGGAGGTGGTAGAATGAAATGTACACAATGTCTGTGTGACTCACACTATGCCTGTATGCTGCACGCACTCCCTCCACACTGCCAGGATGGGTGTATGGACGAGGAGAGAGTGTCGGAGCTGTGCCAGACCTACTCGGAGAGGTTCAGCATCGAGCCGTCTCAGATCATGGACACCATGAGAGTCATCTGCAAGGCTGCTGACCCAAAAGTAAGCTTTTCACTGTTATGCAGTGGGTCCAGTATTCTTGATAGGAAAGTCTGTTTGTTGCCATGCAAAATATACCCACACCAGGGTTTCATTTAGAAATTGATCCGTATTAATGAAAAGGGGAAGGGGGGCAGAACTCTGTTTGTATGGATTAAAAGCTCCAAGGGTGGGGGGCGATCCCCCCCCCACCCCCTTCCCCTATATATCTCGGCACATGAGAATATTATACACTCATATGTAGTTAGCATGCATTGCACTATAATAATATGTTTGTAAAGCACCAATATTATTCTATCACACATATTCGTAACAGCAGATAGATTGTAGGACATGTTTGTGTACATGTACATATCAAAAGAGGGGGGGAGGGAGAGAGGAAAAAGCAAAACTGGGAGGAAATAGTGCAGCTGTTACTTTTCAATTGCCAGAGGAGACCACTTTCAACGACATGTTGCTGGGTATAGTGGGAGACTATTTCTTCTGGATTGGTCCCAGATTGACTGGCTCCCTGCACTGTTGGCACTCAGCGGCTGCGGTGTTTGTGGCAATTAGCACAGAGTACATTGGCATCCCATGTGGCACTGCGCCGTAGTCTGCGACATCACTCATTCCACTGGTGACGGCTCTCTCCAGTATGCACTATATACTACATAAACATGGTGTGGTTCGTAGTAAAGACTTTGCCAGGTCAGCCAGTGAGGAAACTCAGACACCTTGTGCACTTATTTAGGGAAGGTTACACCTTGTCAATGATAACATTATTTCAAGAACTGCCTTTTCCGACAATCCGGTACACCTTAAACCCTGCACATATCATGACTAGACAACTGCCTGTGAGTGTGCTGTCAATTTGTACTACCCACGGCATAGACGTAGCCAGAATTTACAATTAATAAACCCTTATTATAGCTAATCAGTGAGCGATACACATTCTTTCACATCAACGTTCCCTACTGGGTTTTCTTTATGGGAGGTGGGGACACAGCTGCTAGATTAGTTTTGAACGTGATCGTACGTAATTATCACAATCGAGAGCATCTTTTGTTGATTCTTGCGACGTTGTGTGACTAACATAGCATCTCTGAGGTTCCCCAGTGTGACTGCCTCTGTTTGTAAGTGTATCACTGCTCATTACGCTAGGACACAGTGTTCTCACTCTGCGCTCTGGACCAAATTATGTGTTTAGAATTCATCCTAAATGTACCTATATACCCCATACAGGACTTACCCTCCTTAGTAGAAAATATCTTGTGTGTACTCACAGTTTGTAAGTGTACTTCCTCGTAGCCCTACCAGCCTGTTTTCCCTCAGCTTTCAAAGGGGCACCTCACTGCACAGTGATTGGGGTCAACAGCACGTGTAGTAGGCTGCAATATCAGTCACATGTAGCCTCATGTAGCCTTTTGCACTGGCAGATTTTGACTGGTAGCCCCCACTAAGCATGGCAAAAAGTGTAGAAAAACAATGAGGTTTGTATAATTATACTACGAGTATATGCATATCAAGTACAAAGGTAGTGGACTGTGCAAGGAGGGTGACCTGAAATGTATGCAGTCATTGGGTGGTGGGGGTGGTAGTAGTGCTGGTAGGGCAGTTAGGGCTGAGTTGTGCTCACAGAAGCCACTCCTAACCCTGAGAAGGAATGGCTTTGACTTTGACTATACATGGTCCTGGCCCCCAGCTGAGCTGAGGTGCTAATGTATATACATGTCTTCATCAGCTGACCTTTGCTCATTTTGTGTAATGTGACAGTCTTGGTAAAAACTCAACTCTTACAATGTTACATGTCAATTTCCACATCTCTCCCTCCTCCCCTCCCTCCTCTCCTCCCTATCTTCCCTCTCTTCCCCCTCCTCCTCCTCTCCCTTCTCCCCTTCTCTCTCACACAGACTCAAGATCAACCTGATGGTACCAACCTATCTGTGAAGGTAAACTTCCACAACACACTTTAGCTAACAACCATTCCAACCAAAGTCAATAATTAGATTCTACACCTTTTAAATTGTCTTCCTCGCTTACGTGAATGTGTGCTTTTCATGGATGTTGTCGATTGACTGACACATACATAGGATGTACCTGTAACATTCCTCCTATACTGTTTCCTGGTACTGCAATTACTAATTGAGTGCATATGAACAAAATGTACTGCATGTATGGTATATACGTGTAGTTGTGTTGTTTGCCTTTCCTTTGCCCTTCGACCTTGTTCTTACACACAACCCACGGCCTAGTTTGTGAGCTAGCAGTCAACTGGTATACTTCGTTTTGGGCTGGCATGAATGTACATAGACCTGTGTGATCATTCATTATGCAAAAAAGGTTGCATAATGAATCATGGCGTTAGTCCCATGAGGAGGTACGTATACAATCCTCAACTGCCACTCATATTCACCGCTGGTGCTGGTGCTGGTGCCAAGAGTGTGTGATGCAAACAGACACAAGTAGACTCAACAACTGCTTTTGGAGGGGAGGCATACAGTGTACAATGACATGCTGTGCGTGGTGGAGCCCCACCTGCTTCTTCACATGTGGTGTTTTCACAAACAGAGTTGTTTATTTTTTTACTATATTATATGCATCGGACATGCTGTCAAGTCTTAGTAGTTACGTGTAGTGCTGCAAATGCCATCTTGGGTATTGTGGCTGGGTTAAGGGAGGCACAAGTGTATACGATGTACATATAATTATACACGTACACATGCAACTGACGACATTTTGGGAATGATAGAAGGCTGGCCCCAACTAGCTCATTAGGAAATTGTATAAGGTTTTGACGAAGGTCGCCTATTATTATATATGTGAAGTGTATTAAACATGAGCTATTCACCACACTCTATAGTATGGGGCTTTTGTACACAGCATTTCACTGAGAAAAGCATTTGAACTTGGCCGTCAAAACACGAAACGCACCAAAAAACTCTTTCCAATTTTTTGCCGTACACGTCGTCACACACTGGACCACGAGCCACGGGTACTGTGTAGGTAGAGGTGAGCCAGGAATGCCAATCAGGCCCACGGACAGCCTCTGAAGAGCCGTATGTTCATAGGTATTCCGTCAGCAGATACTGCTGTCCTGATTCAAACAGTTGGCACACAATGGTTGGGTAAAAGCAAACCTAGATTAATTAGTGCTCTGTTTTGATGAAAACCTTATTAGACACCTACGTGCGTACCTACGTACACGTATGACAGCCTAGTCTTAGAACGTCGGTAGGCCGTAACTCTTACTAAGAAACCTGTATACCGTGAGAATAAAGGAGCTATACTAGTGGGAGAAGCCCCTGGTCTAATAGACAGTTGTCTTCTCTCTATAGACATTAATTAGGTCAGTCAAAATAGACAAATAGTTGAGCCCGGAAGCACACACACTAAGAACATGGGACCCAGTGGACCTTGAGCCCACTACATGTTTCTAGTTAGGTTTCTGCTACGTCTGTGTTAGTGCAGGCTCACATAAGAAGTCCAACTACACTACCGCTTCGGTGTTTACATGTGTGCCATCTCACTCACGACATATTGGTTATACATACAATGCAAAAAGACCTAGAGTGCTCGGGTAGATCTTATAACACTACACGTAGCTAAACTGCCAAATCTTCAGTCGCGACTAAAAGCCTTGCATGCATGTGTATATAGTACCGGTACGTCTTTTGCAAAGCCAGGCGTACTCTAACCGCTGTCTTTCTTCCACTCCTGAAATTTGCCATACTGCTGAGTGAGTAGTTCACTGTAACTACCCCTACATGGCATAAAAACGACTCACTTTCCTACAGTAGTACTCATGTGTCTGCTGGAGCAAAAAAAACACCTGATTAGCACACTACATCACCTTTACTGTATTTACATGGTGACAGGGGACAGGAAGTATATACATGTGTTGATTGTATGTGGATTCTTGGTAATTAGGGAAAATCCACTGGGAATCCCCTGATCTGGAGTTTGTAGGTTTCTCTAAAATGGTCATTATTGGTATAGACTTAGAATTCATGGACTTCTTCTTTTCGTACATATTTTAGCATGCCATGCCCAAATACATGCCCAAATACATGCCCACACTAGGCTGTGTAAACTTCAGAGTGTGTGTAGTCACGGAACATGTAACTGTGAAGCTGTTGAAATAATAAGCTTTCCAATTGCTGAGATTATATCATAGTCACATATATCTACAGATGCAACGTAGGTACCATGCCCAAGCACTACCATACGTACTTAGTGATACTAGGCATCAACAACAGAGGGTTGGGTTTAAACCAATGTCTGGGAGAAGGTGGACTTTAGTATACACTGTCCCATCCGAATGCAGCCACCAGCGGTGCCACTTGGTACACCAGCCACCGTGTGCAGTCTTTGTTTGCTGGTCCTGATCCGCTAGCATCGCTGGTGCCAAACATTTAGAAAGTAGCACACGGCTGTGTGACATGTTCATGGTTTGACTGCTGAATCAACGTCGTGGGCCCCTTGTACATGTTCAAGGCTGTAATTACGGTGAACACACACTGAGTGCGTGTAACCCTCTGGGTCTCCATTTACTCCCAAGCTATTTCAGAAGGTATATACTAGGATAAGAGCCTGAAATTAAGCTACTGTATACACCAGCTACTGAAACTATTATAACTACTTTCCTCTCTCCCAAACAGAATCCTCCACTCCTCCGCACTTCTGATGCCTATGAGGTATTGTATATACACCTACACACTGACTACTGCATTGTGTATGACGATACCTGTAGGTATATAGCATTACAATTTGTTACGTGTTTCGTATTGAATTTGTGCCAATTATACACAGCATAATTCTACGAGTGTACATGTCAGTTGTTAGTCCTACAGTGTCTGCCTCCATAATTTAATAACGGAGGTTTTGTCGCGCCAATGTAGTTTGACGTTTGTATAGCACTCGGTTTCAGTTTGTCTCTTACTAAACCTACAAGTGTGGTTAAAAGGTGCATTGCACATGTACTGTTTATGAACACACACACGGAAGCTTTCATAGCCTGCCAAAATTATTCTTACTAAGAATTTTAAAAATCCATTACAGTCCCCATTTATCTAAATAGTGCCAACCTCTACATCTTTGTATGTGGTTCTATACGTCTTATGCATACGTACATACGTATGTACATGAAGTATTTCAATCATTGCAGGAGCCACTTGATGTTATGAAAGACGACCTATCAACATTCAAGGTCTGTATAGCATGTGATCCATTGAAGGAAAAAGCAATGAGACATTATGTAGTGCACGAGCGAGCCTCGGCAATCTTCCAGGAGTTGTCGCTAATTAAACAAAAGAAGTTTTTGCGTTTATACATTTCCCATTTTTTAATAAACCTCCTTAATACGGGAGTTCCCAGTACGCAGTACGACAGAGGTCTTGTATGGACAGCTGATCAGAAAGCAAAGGTGACACCTGAAGTCACAAGTCTGTAGATATTGTCCAGCTGTGCAGGTTGTAGCAAAATGGCCTGTGGACTGTGTTGATAGGGAGTTACTGCCCAGCTACATTGTGATGGGGGAAAGGAATGTCAACACATGTCCAGTAAAATTCTCAGACTCTTCGGTCCACCAGTCACTGTCACAGATTTATGCACTGTACTGTTAGGGCCATGTAGGGAAATAGGTCCAGATACACCCAGAGAGTCTGTGTACTCCTTATTAGTAAGGGAAATTTCATGAACCCCCTATAACTCTACAAGACAACAGTACAACTACTGGGTACACTATATACTATAGTATTGCTGTACATAAGTACAACTGCGTGTGTGGGTAGCCATAGAGTCAGTGGGCGATATTGTTACACAGGGCAGGGTTCAGATGTATGTACTTCAGTCCATTGGCTTCCTATATGAGCCAGCTTTGTTGACACTTCCTATTGTGACTGCCTTTCATAAGTGGCCAACCTAGCACAATAATGTCCCCAGTGGCCTGTAGGTAATGTGAAATCCTATACATTTCAGGATCCTTGCCTTCCCAATGTGTAAGCCAAAGTCAACTATAGGCCTTCTCAATATCAATAGGTTACGTTGCATTCCTAGATTGTCATGCTCAACTTTATTCTGCTGTCCTGTTACAGCTTGCACTTCTTTCATTGACACCTCTGTGTTACATTCATTACAATGGTCGAAACTTAGGAATCTGATGTTGGTAAATGTTTCGTATGAACCAACAAATTAATGTACATAAAGTATACTGCTAATGTGACGTGAATGTTTGTGTCTAGGATCCTGTGACTCCCACCTCTCCACTCAAGAAATCACCACCAAGGTATGTACAGAACTCGTAATATATGACTGTATGCATGCCACATAAAATATTGCAAATTATTATGCCAACTTTACACCCACTACTTTTACAAGTAAATTTAACATCCTTCCTCTATGGACAACAAAATATGTGGGGGTATGGCTTACTGACAACTATATTGCACAGTTGACTATGGTGTGTGGGAGTGCAGCTCCTGCCAGAGTTGTGTGTGTAATAGGAGTATGTTTTCCTCTCCACAGGAAGAGAGACAGCCCTCAGTTCCAGCAGAAACCAAAACCTTCAAGTGGGTCACTATTTACAACCTGTACACTTCACACTACGTACAACATGTGCATATCATAATATGTACATACGTAGGATCTCTGCATATCGTACTATGTACGTACAGCCTGTACGTTGCATGTTGAACCTCAGGCAGCTTGGTATGATGGCTTGGAGTAAGGGACGCCCACAAGAGTGAAAGCTGCCGTGAAACCTTACAACTACGAGTTTTACAGATGACTCTCGTGTGTCCAAGTTTGGATAACGTGAGATTCGACTTATCCCGTTCCTACATGGAACATCTAACCAATGGCTCTGATTATCTCATTACGCTGCATATCCAGCTTGCAAGCAGGCAAAAAAAAACTTGTACCGAATCTACCCATTTAGTCACCTCTGCAATACTCTGTTGGTGGGAAAGAGCTATGATGTAGTGACATCCACCATCCACCTGTCTACGCCACCTACTCATGCCCACGTTGAATAACATTTAATTTTAGACCATCTTCTCCTAGACCACACTGTTTATGTAGACTATATATGTAGGAGCATGTGTATACAGTTGCTGACGGGGAAAGGGGTGGTGTATATGCAGTGCAGTGCTGCGTTTGTAGAGGTGTCTCCACAAAGTTTTGACAGTGGACGCATATTTAGCATTTTGAGCAGGAATGGACACACTATGTGATTACTTTTCCACCCCAATACCTTTCACCTGTATACACTTCTCCCCTCCCCCTCTCTCCTCCCCCTCTTCCCTCGGCACTCCGTGATCCTCCCAACATCTTTTCTTCTCCTCCATCCTTGCATCCCCCCCCTCTCTCCACAGGTAGTGACAGTAGTCCAGAGCCCAAGAGACGAGGAGGGTCCCCCAGATCACCACCCCATGATGTCTCCCCAGTCACATCTCCCAAGGAACACAGGAAGTTTGGATTCTTCAGCAAGAAGGCCAAGAAGAAACCAGTTCGCTCCAACTCTGTCAAAGAAGGTAACGTGTGTAACGTCAGCAGCATAAAAGTCGCTCATCTGCAACTCCTGCCCTTTATTTCAAAGTTTCACTAACGTACCTTTGAATTCCATCTCTCTACCTGCAGGAGGAAGAGCAGGGAAGGCAGTACTGCTTCCTAGGAAATCAAACGTGAGTACATTACAACTGATTGTAGTACCTCCTTCTCACTTACTATGAGTTTTTTGAAAGATAAAAATCTACGTCCATATTCAATTATGTATCTGCGTAGCATAGAACACATCACATGAGTACAAATTTTGCTTGCAGTAGTACAATAAGCCATGCAAGTTTTTAAGAAGTTATTGCGAGTTCAGACAACATGCACGTGTAATGTGTGTGGATAAGGTTCCACCATGATCAACTATAGCTCTTGGGTCAGTGACCGATATTCACTGTTTTTGTGCACAGCAAGTTACACACTTGAGTCACCGTTAATGAATCATTTTTTTTACAATTCCCAAAATCAATGCGGCTCTATTTTGGCCCCCAACTTCCCACGATAGTGATGCATGTACTTCCCAATTGATTCGCTACAATAATGGTGACCTATATATGAAGGTATTAAACCATGTGATATCAAGAGAAAAAAGATGGGGAGCTCTGGGCAGCTGTTTCGGGCTTGTTGGCCCTCATCAGCAGAGCATACCGCAACTTCTCTCTCTGGCATCACGAGTTTATAAAAGCTGTATACCTTAAAATGCCCCAAGCTGCTAGTCTCTCTCTCTACCTTTTGCCCGCTGTAGGAAGAGGGAGCTGGAGTAGTTGCAACTCCATCACCTCTGTCGTCCAAGAAACGACCAGCCCGGCCGTCTCTCTCCCTCACCTCTCCTCCCTCCTCACCTTCCTCCACCACTGGCCTCAAGACATCTGGTGAGTCGTCTCCTCAGACATAATACTCGACTGTTGAGTCTCCTGGTCCCATGTGTTCCTGCCTCATCATGTATTGCATTCTGTTTGTGAAAAGTGAAAAGTGTAGCAACGGCTGTATGTCTTCAGTTTATTTCAAACATGCTGAACGGCCATGTATGACTTAGCCATTAGTGCAAGAATTAGCAGGATCATCAGGCTGCCTGATTTATAGTTTCGGACACAGTAATAGAGATTGTGACACTGTATATAACTGCAGTGTATTGCCACCCATTCACTTATTCTCTGCTGCTCAATTCCCAGAGGCTCTTTTCTTTATTTCCCATCACTCCCTCTTCCCTTCCTGCTACCCTATATTTCTCTCTTGCTCTCTGTCTGAGCAAGAGGGAGAAATAGGGAAGGGATCTTCTTGACACACACGACCTAAACCAAGGCTCCTATATATCTCTCTCCCTCAGGGAATAAACACAGGACCGTCAGTGTCAGCAGTACCTCCACCACAGGCTCCGAGACCAGTCCACCAGCCCCCAAAGTCAGTCAACTCAAGAAAAGCTCTACACCTTCCCAACTGACGCTGCCTCACAGCCCTACACACAAACCAAACACTTTTGGAGTCGAAAATAGATTTGCATTTTCCGCATGCACTAAATTACATACTACACCAGACTAAATTTTTTACAACTTTTTCTTGTACGTTTGTACTTTTTTACTTTTCAATCAGAGTGCATAGGAATCAAAAAATATGTTTCTCGCTTTTTTGTACAGAAATTTGGAATTATGAGATTTTCTGAACGGTCCCCAACTCTCCAAAGAAAGGCTAAAACGGTGAGTTATTGGTGACCTTTGTACTCTGTCTCCGAATAGGCTATGAATACACTCAGAATCATGTGACAAGCACATGATAACCGCGTGTACGGTGGCTGCGCCAGGTGTACACATAACATCGTACACATGTATATACATACGTAGTAGTCCTACTATTGATGTGTACAAATACAGTGATTGTTTTGAGACTCAGCATCAACAGTACTTACTCCAATTCATGCCTTTGCCAAAACCGCTCAATTCGCTTTATATTATTATGTTAAACAGTGTGTACGTCCTATGTATTGAGCTCTGCACATTACATACAAGTATATATATATATATATATATGTAGTACACATTATTGTGAGTGAATGAGTTAGTAGTTAGTGTAAGTGGAGAAGGTGTGGGTGGGTATAATTATTGGTGTCTGTGGAGCCTGCTAGAATAGCATCCCTCCCTCTCTTTCCTCCCTCAGTTCAAACCTTCACTTTCTGCAGCATACGTATATACACCTTTCTCCATATCTGCCTCCTCCTCCTCTTTGCCTTTACCTCTCTACGTCGTTGTTGACACATGTAGACATGCCATGGTGTGCCCTATATATGAACATTGTGGTCGTACATTGTGTCTTTATTGATCCTTCACTGTGTGTGTTGTGTAGGTTGGCAGAGGGAAAGGCACTCTGGAGTCATCACTAACGGCCTCTGATATGGCGGTAGGTCGTAATACATACACCCCTGACCCCACATTGGGTACCATTATGGTAACATGGACATTGTGTCGGGGAAACGCAAAGCAGTAGATGTCGAGAATGACATGTAAAACCTTTGTGGAATGTCTTTCTCGTTGGATTGTCATGTACGCGAGTGCAAATCCCCGCAGGTGTCCATTATAATCACAGCGTTGCTACCATTGATTGTGTGTACTTGTCAAGCAAAGTGACCCAGTGGTCTGAATTTCCCGAGCACATACTAGGAATAACACACATTAGCTGAGGAGGACACTGCTATCTGGACCAGCTCTCTAATAATAAGTGCTAAATTTCACACTAGTATATTCACTCTACTAGTAAACGTTTAATGTGGAGGAATGTAATGTTAGAAGCAAGCTTTCCCACCAACTCCATTTTTGCTATATACTGGGAGTCATGGTTCAGTAGTGCCCATGATATGAAGCCTGGGTTCAATGATGGAAGCAGGTTATTTCGTAACTCCCACATGTGCAAATGTACGTAGCATAATCAGGTGACTCAGAACTATTCAGAGCTTGTCTAGAGAGAAATGGCATTATGAAGCGGAGTAAGGCGTTCTCTCATTCCTGCATTCACCGTTTGTCTCATCTCAATACTCAGTTGGATAGAGTGGGGGAGAGTTCGGAGCCCGAGGGGGCAGGAGGGGAGCGACTGCGGGGAGCTCAGAGCCACAACGATCTCCTGAACACCCAGTTCTCCGTGGACAGTCCAGCCACCGGCCAGAGGAGGAAGGTGGAGAGTAAGGATAAGAGAGGCGGGCTGTTGGGGCTACTGAAGAGGAAGACGATGGGAGGGAAGAGAGGGAGGAAGGGGAAGGAGAAGAGGGAGGGAGAGGAGGAGAGATGGAGAGAGGATGGAGGGGATGGACCATCATTTCTCACTGCTTCCGTGAGCCTTCCAAACATTGCAGGTGAGTTATAACGTTCCATAGACCCAATCAGACCAACATTCCAGAAACATTTCACATTTACCGTACACTATTTGTATTAGTGCACATTTTAGCAGCAAACTACATGTAATTGCATATTCTCCCAGTAATTGGCGAGCAAAGGGAACCTCTGAATGCAGATCACTCTGTAATAGTGAATCGTCACTGCCTAAACGTGAAAACATGCTGGAAATATTGAACTGCTCGCTTCGTTTGCAAAAAAATTCATTGCATTCCTCACTTACAGCTGCAGGAGCTCAACTGGGAGATAAGGTGACTACCGCCCCATCACCACTGGCTACTCCAATGCAGCAGACACCCACTGAGCATAAGAAAAGTGCCACGGTACCTCCAAAACCGTCCCGTCGCACCCTCCTCCATCCCCCCATCAAAATACCTCCACCGTCTCCCGAAACCTCTCCTCTACCCCAGCGCAGAGTCCAGCAATCAACGGGGGAGTCCCCAGGTGATCGCCTCATCCCAATCAAGGACGGCGGCGGTCCCGGTCGAGGAGGGACTGGAGAGGAAATATCGTCCTGGAACCCGGTCTCGCCCTCTCACCTCATCCTGAACCCACCTCGAGGGTTCGAATCAGACGTGTTTGCCGGTACGGCACCTCACGAGCAAGTCTCTGACTTTGGAGAGCCGTCATCGTATAGAAACTCTCTGCGAGACTCTGTCACCAGCTACCACTCCGCTGCGTCGGACACGGTCGGTGGATCACTAACAAGGAATGGTGACGTGGCCAGCAGCGTTGGGTCGGAGAACTCTCTGGTGTTTGGATCGTGTACCAGTGGCACCAGCTCGGTGTCTCTAGCCAAGACTAGCAGTGGTGGGAGTGCCAAGAAACCGCCACCCCCACCAAAACCAAAGTCGCTGGAGAGAAGTAGGACTAGAGGAGGGAGAGTGAGCGGGCCACGGGTGGTATCACCTGATCCACGACCTACTTCACCTCCTGCAAAGAGAGAGGAAGAGGTGACTAATGCGAGGACTAACAAAAGGGTCGCCCCGCCAAAGAAGCCACCACGGGCTAGTCGAGGATCAGTAAAGAATAGCTTTGCTGTTGAATTCCCTGAAAGGACAGAGAAAGGGGAGGAAAGAGGAGAACAAGAAGAAGGGGGGAAAGGGAAGAAAGTGGTGCCACCACCTAAGCCTGCGAGGAGACACAAATCAATGAAAACAGCAAAAATTGATCAAGAGCCCGTGGCTCCACGGACAAAGTCGCAGACCATGCAACACCCTCGCTCTGTCTCCGGAAGCTCCCAGACCTCGCCAGTGTTAAACGGGCCCCGAGAGGCCCTGCGGCTCCCAGGAAACCAATCCCCGCCCCGAAACCTCGGTCATCTCTCAGTCAGTCGCCTCCTCCGCCGACTCTGGCAGAGTCAATCGCTGCCAGGCTGTCAGAGGAGGGCATCGACCTCACTGTTCCACCGTACTCTACCATGGTGGGTGGGTGGATGGGTAGTATATTATACTGGAGAGGGCCTATAGTTCAGTGTGTGGACTAAGTAAAGACAGATTTGCTGTAGGTATGCTTCCCGTGTTGATTATCTATCCCTCCTCCTCCCTCTCCTCTTCCTCCCTCTCCTCCTCCTCATCACCATCAACGTCCTCGTCATCTCTTTCTTCCCTCTCTCCCTACGTTATCCTTTCTCTCTCCTCTCCCCCCTCCTCCTGTCTCTCTCCCTGCAGTGGGGGGAGTGGGGTGTCCCAGCTCTCCTGCTATCACGATATGCACAGGACCTTGACCAGCCTCCAGAGCAGATTGCTCTGCTAATGGATGGCATCAGAATACAGAACCTAAAGAAGGAATCCAGGGAGTTTGTAAGTCCCTCCCTTGCTTTCCTTCTCCTTTCACAGTTCCAATTAATGTGTACTTTCTCTATTGATGTTTATCAACACACTGCTTTCTCCCTCCATATTCCTGTCTACCTGTAATCTCCCTGCTAATGTTTCTGCTTCGTTTGCTTAGTGCCTACAGATAAACAGTTAAATCACTAAATCACTGAAAGTCTTACACAGGCACACTTCAAAAACCAATGCACACCGTTATGGCGTAGCTCATTGTGTGTATGCATAGAAGAGCTATATATATATGTAATATACACTTTGGCTCATTGCTTGTGTTACTGTTGACTCTAGCGTAGTGGCACTGAGTTCAACAGGGAAGGCCCGGATACCAACATACAACCACGTGTGATAGAATTAACTACTAATGTTATTGTCCGTGTGCTCTCCTCAGAAACCGATGAAAATGGCAGACTGTATGCGGCACAGTGCCATCTCCACGGACTCCATCTCCAACTTCCTCACCTCCATTGGACTCCCCATGTATGCCTCAGTCTTCACAGGGTTCTACAACGTCGCCAGTCTCCGCGGTCTCAAGGATAAAACAATGGAGGAGCTCGGTATTGCTCCTAATCACAGGGGCATACTCATGGAACAGATTCGCCACACAAACTAGCTAGCCATCTTTGTTTTCAGCCCATCCTGTACATTTTTGATCCATTTCTCATTGTGATATTTTAACACTGGCTGTTTGTTGTTGTATATAGACATTGTTTCTCTGTGTTTGCGTTGTTTTTATTGTTGACTACAGCAAGCTATATTTTCCATCAGCATAATAATTTTCTATCAGTGGATAGTGTTAAAAAAACTGGCTGCAATATTTCTAGAAAAATTATTTAACCCTTTGGATGCCATGGGTATCTCATAAACAGAAAATAAGGTAAGTCTAAAATAAAAAAGATTATAATAATAAAAATTCAAAATTTCTTATGGAAGCTCTGGACACTAAACGTATGTGTGCATGTCTGTGCGCTGGTTAAGTGTCAAAGAGCAGCACTAGGTGTCAAAGTATAGGTGTATACAGCTATGTAATAGAATGCTGTGGCTGAAAGAGAGGATCATGTTTTTGGAGTAATGTTTGTGAAAACAGTCTTCATTCACTACGTTGTCCCAAAAGTTGCGTTTCACAGATTGCATCCCCAAAGGCTCTAGCCACATGCATTTTTGTGTTTTTATACAACAACCAAGGAAAAAAAAAGGGGAAGGGAAAAAAAAAAGCGGCTTTCATTAGAACGAGAAAAGGTGGACAAGCAGCAATCCGAGGGGGGGGGGGAGTGTGCCGGGCGGGAGACAAACACGTACAGGCGAAGGGTCCTTGGGGAGTGCAAGGGAGGGAAAAACGAACAGAGTATAAAAACGATCGCCACGAGTCTGAAGTAGGACAAAGCACCGCACAAGAACGAACGGATTCAGAAAAGGTTCACAAAAAAAGAAAAAAAGGAGCCCGGGATGTTTTTAACATAATAAAAAAAAGATGAAAAAAATGGTTTATTTTTAGATCTTTGTTTGAGTTTTTTTTTCATAAGTTACTAAAAATAAGATATCCTAAAGAAAATCATAATAATGATCCTATCTTCGATTAATATCAGTTCTTAATATGGATGCCTCTCAAGACGCTATAGTTGTGTATAGCAATCTCAGCCTGCCGTGGCATCCATGACCATGTGCTGGTAGCTGACTCTCTCATTCAAATGAAAAGAGTGAGGCTGCACTTTTCTACGACTCCAGCCCCAGCTTCATTGCTCTGACAAGGGTCGCTACCAACCCCGCACGTTTACCTGTATCTCTGAGAATCCCCTGCCCTCCCCTGTCTATGGTCTTGTAGTGTCGCCAACTTTGCAGGCCTCAGCCCACAAACCGGGAACTGGACTCCGCCTGTTGCCGGTTAACCAGAAGAGGATGTTTTGGTACGTGATAGCGAAGAGGACGCGCCGTTTGTGTGTGTACCACAGTGTGAGTGATAAGTCAGCACAATCAGCATATCGGAGCAACCACTCGTCTGTTGATACACAAACCTTATGCCTGAGCTTGGTGTCTGATGGACCCTATTAATTACCCTCACATCAGCGCCGAAGATTGGTGACGACAGTAAGTGAACTTTACTTCAAACTCACACTTCCTCTTCCAATACCTCACCTTGATGTCATGCACATTCCGTGTTCGAACATGGCTACCCCGTAACTTCCGGAAACTTTTGAGGAACGTGCGATCCTAGGCGGCTGGGCATGAGGTTGTGCCTGAATCGCATAGCAACAGGGAAAGTATGCGCTTTTGTTTGTGCGGGTACGGTACAGCAAAAACAGGACATTTTTCCCCTTGAATTCATTGCTCCTAAGAGTCTATTCGCCTTACATACACTGTTTCTTGGGTCTGCATATCCAGATTGCACAAGGATTACCCAAGGGCCACACAACCACGTCAGTTCCTGGGAATAATAGTGCTCCATCGTCTCGTTGATTCCTGGCTACAGTCAACCTACGAGTTTTTAAGACGCTTCGTTGGCATCCTTTACTCTATAGATGTTGGCGTAGAGGGAGCGAGCCAAAAGATAGTGTTTGCGTGCAGTTTGTGTAAGGAATTAGACAGTGTAACAATGAGCTGGTTCATTATTCTGTCACAGATGTACCAGCAGATATTTCCAGCCGACGATAAGAATACACGTTTCTCTTATTATCGTGCCCCGAGCATGCGTATTCTAAGGCGGGATACTTTGTTTAAATGGCGCTGTGTGTATTGAGTCAAAACGGGGGCTCGCACGCCAATGTTGGCCTTCATTTTCTGGCAGTGTTTTCATTCCCCCCCAGTTCAAAAAACGAAGACGCACATATGAATAAGCCGTGAGCTGCATTCATCTGCCTTGGTCTTCCATACCACTATCTTCACCCCACACAGCACACACATCTATACACAATCGGTACATAGTGTGCGTGATACACGACAGTATAAAAGAGTCCAATAGCTGCAGTTGGAAATACCACCGCACATTGCCTCTCCAGTTTACTTTTGGCGCGCAGAGTTTTTACGAGTTAGAGGTGCAATTGGAGTTGCGCTAGAACTGTGAATGGAAAGTGGATATGTGATTCGGTACTGATAACATAGGGCTTTGGGACTTTCACCATTATGAAATCATGCCAAAAACAGAGGCTAGGAAAACAAGACAGAGGTTTGTTGGCAGTTGACAGAGCAAAACGGACATCTCCCCTCATCTCCACTGACCTCTGACACTGTTTCACTTGGTTTTCCATTGTGACAGATGACCCTGGTCTTGCACAAGGTGACCACTTTCATCTTGTGCCCTGCCTCTCTCTCTCCACTCCCTCTTACTACCACCTTTCAAACCTTCTTGGTGCAGAGCTATTCGACCACTGCACTGGCATTTCTGACTCTAACCTCATTCTGACTCTGTGTATATCTGCATGTGGATGCAGCAACATAACTTTTCTGGACACCTGTATATAGAAACTAAGTGCTGTTTTCCCATCATTGCCAAAGCACAGCAAAAGGTGAGCCCTAGCTTCATAGGTTTACATTGGCAGGACACGACATCATCTTACAGGTGCTCATAAATGAACATCCTCCAAAATCAAGATCATTTGCCTTCCCCCCACATCTCAACCACCCACTCTGAGTGCCCCAATCATTATGATTACCAAGTTCCCTTTGGATGATTTGTGTTTCTCCAAGCTATATAAGCACATGGTTGGCCTGATACTCCAAGACAAGCCATGTTCTTTCACGCGTAACACCCTTGTCCTATATATGAGCAATACCAAGAGCTGTATTGCCGAAAACACTTCATAGTGTAGGCTGCACTGCAGAAGTGTGCACTTTCCTCTGTGAGTTTTCATTCAGCACTCTTTTACATTACTACACTTGAGTGTTTCATTGCCGATCAGTCCCATATCGTGTTTAGAACATTGGGCTAACGTTTACAGTCTACGTTACGTATGATCAGTCACGTCGAGCGACAGACGCTGTTAGACAGCCCGCCGCCTTCCATGTCGGAGAGCATCGAATGATGCTAGGCACACACACCCCAGACCCA